CAGTGCAATACCATGGTATGGTATGGAATGGGAGTGCAATACCATGGTATGGTATGGGAGTGCAATACCTTGGTATGGTATTGGGTGCAATACCATGGTATGGTATGGTATGGGAGTGCAATACCTTGGTATGGTATGGGGTGCAATACCATGGTATGGTATGGTATGGGAGTGCAATACCTTGGTATGGTATGAGATTGTAATACCAGTGCAATACCATGGTATGGTATGGTATGGGAGTGCAATACCATGGTACGGTATGAGATTGTAATACCAGTGCAATACCATGGTATGGTATGAGATTGTAATACCAGTGCAATACCATGGTATGGTGTGGGAGTGCAATACCATGGTATGGTATGGGAGTGCAATACCATGGTATGGTATGAGAGTGCAATACCATGGTATGGTATGAGAGTGCAATACCATTGTATAATATTTTGATAATAAAGACTCTCAGGACACAATACTTGATCCCATTTCCAATTAACAAGACTTTGGATTGGATAGATTCACTTAGCTTCAATAAATTGGACCAAATATTATGACAAAAGGCCAAACATTCAGGACAACAATACTTGATTCCATGATTGCAGATTTTAAGAAAATTGAGATTATATGATGGTGTTGTTGGCAAGACTATATGTATATGCTATGTAAGTGGGCAGGACTGTCTGATTGGCCATACTGAACAAAATATACTTACCCTATTATTGAAAGCATTCATATTAATGGCTTTTCAGGAATGGAAAACCCCAGGAGAAAACTCAATTGAACTGATTTTCAAAGGTTGGAGTTGACTATCTGGCCTCCACTTGGAGTTGGAAATCTTAGCAAAAACCTGAAGAACCATTCCACTTTTCTTTGCTTCTCAGTGACCACTTCATCACAATGGATGCAGTATTGTTTTATTTGGATGAATATTGTTCTAATGGATAGGACTGTGAAATATTGGTATCATCTAACAGCTTTGATGCATGGGAAAGCTGGGATAATCCCCATTTGAACTAATTTTCAATAAATGGCTTGGACTATCTGGCCTTGATTTGTAGCCTAATATCTCAGGATAAACCTGGAGAACCCCCCCACAAAAAATGGCACCCAATGGACCAGTATTGCAGCCTGCAGAAATAATTTATATATTTTGGAAAAGGACCCCAGACACCCCGTGACAGCTTTGGTATGATGGTATGAAGTGATATCATACCATCTGGTATGGTATAACATGACATGGTATGGTATGGTAACTTGGTATTGGTATGAGTGGGATATGGTATGGGTTTTCCATTCCATGGTACCATGGTATTGGTATGGTGCTCACATACCACCCTGGAATGGGTACCCTTGAGGTACCCTTAAATCAAAGAATTCATATACCTCGGGGGTACCCTAAAATGGGTGACTGAAGTGGTTCAACACAAATTCATAAGATTTTCAGACAATATCATGCGTGGATGGCGAAACATTCAAATGTCTGTTAAGAGATTGGAATCACGCAAAAAGGGCGATGTCAATTACATACCTCACATAGACGAGATAAAACTTCCAAAGATTGGCACACAGTGATGTTCTCAAGAATTTCTTGAAGAGCTCTTCAGCAGTTCCAAAAGTTTCTTGATCATATAAAAAGCTGGGTGTGCTTTGTGTGGTTGGGGCGGTATTTCCATTTGTGATACCAACGCCGGAGTGGTCTTGAGTTGCAGGGCTTGCGACATTGGTGGGGGAGTTTGAGAGCTGGTGGCAGAAAGATCATTTGTTTGTTTCGCGTCGCGTCGTGTTTCCCCAGGTCATGTGATGTTTTACCATTTCGAGTGGTGGTGCACAATCCTCGGTATGTGTGATGAGTCTGATGACCCGTGACATGCTGTGACAGAGTGTCACAGGCCCAATTTCTTGAGACATTGACCTTGTACTCTCTACAACACCAATTTAATATATTTTTTGCAATGGGTTTGACTGAATTAAGTGAATGATCCATTCAGAGAGTTTTCCATGTAGCAATG